CACGTCCTTCATCGGGTAAGGCAGCATCGTTGCTTCAATGAATACAATTATGTCACCTGAGGCAAACACCTTAAAAGCGTGAAAACCATCGTCTGTTGTGTGACTAAGTTAGGTAAAATGCCACTCGTTATTACCCCTGACAACAACGACTGTACGAAAGGTAGACAAATTCATCATCATCATCATCATTGTCAGCTGTAAGAACCGCGTACTCGTAAACTGGTTGTAGCCGCTGCAGTTTCGTTCACCGATGATTGGGGGGTAGGTAGCTGCGCATTGCACGCGCGAGCTGGTAAATTGGTGAATAAATCCAGCACTGTCAGTGGGCTGTCAAGTGGGGGGGTGGAAAAGGAGCTATGCATTGAAGGCAATAGCTTTGATGCACGAGCGCCATTGAGGGCAAAAGCATCTATGCTTCACTCTCTGGTTCATGATTGTCCACCCTTTTGTCGTTTCAACTCGGTAGGTGGCCGGGAAAAAACGTTCTGTGGCGCAGACGGTTCTTTCATACGAAGTACGACCAGCGCAACCCATGAGGCGTGACATTCCAGTCCGTCGTGGAAGCAATTTGGCGTACCTATGCCTCACCGACCGATGTTCCCTCCAGTTGCGCCTGCGTCGAGCTTCCAAAATACTCCTTATCTTGCCTCCGTGTAATGATCCTCCCTACGCCCAGTAGCAAAGGAAAGTACACGTTACCAAGGTTCTAAACCGCCCTTGGGTTTACGCCTCAATTAAGTTCTATTCTTCCTTTTAACTTCGGTTCCAGTCTACCCAACGGTTCGGAAAAAAATTTCACCACTCGTCGTTCGAGCTAGGGGTGTCCGACAGTATCTCCAGTAAATTAAAACATCATAACCTTCAAGTTCGTATCCATGTATTGGAGCACGCCCCACTCATATGCCACTTCTTCTGCCCTCTTTTCCATCGAGGTACAATCCAACATTCTTGAACGTACTGCACGTACTATCTGTTCCCAAGCGTGGCTATTTGTCCGACTCGAGAAACTACCACACCTCTAATATGTCCAAATTTCTGAGATCAATCGTAAATAAAGGACAATCGCATGATCTCAACGATCACCAATATGGGTTCAGGCAGCATCCCTGTACCAGTGATTGATTATGTGCGAATCATACGCGTGGGCGCCTTTCGTGAACCCGTTTGTGGAAGTAGAATTAGCACGACGTGGTGCCTCAAAAACACTCAACTGAATGTGGTCCAATGGCCTGGCTGACAAAATGCCAGTGCATAGGATTACATCCTGCCATCCCACCCGAAGGTTTCACGAGGGCTGAAATACTGCCAGGTTGCCCAAACCTAGACAAGGGAATCGAGAGGCCGAGGTCGGGTTCGTGCCACGGACCTCCCTGTCAGTAAATTCGCGCATCCAAAAGTCTTTAGGGGCAAACTGCTACACATTCAGCTCTCAATATTAAAAAAGACCTACTTCATCTCATAATAGGTTACGTGCATGCCGTCAGTGTGCTGAACAACTTGTTCGTATTTGAGGCTTGTCCAGTGCAGCTGCATTCACTCCTATCAAGCCGTAAGACGCTGCTTTCCCCTTCCTTTGGTATTCCTCCGTCAACCTTGCATCTTTCAATGATTCTAACCCTACCAGTTAAGCAGTGTACCGCTGACTTCTTCCGGACAACCCTAAGTGGTTCTCGGGTGTAAAATAAACTGCAAATTGACCCTACGGAAAACTGGCTTCCTTATCGTCCTTGTGATTAGAGTTTNCTCTTTTCCGATTTATATTGTACAATTCCGAAATCCCGTCCACCACTGCCATTGTACTTGGGGTTGGACACCTACATCTTTCGTCCACAGATGATAATCACCGGAAAGTTATGAGTTCAGCTTGCTTCAACCGATCACTCGAAAACCTTTCGTCTTAAAAGAGAAGACTTAAAGCGTTCAGCTGTAGCACCCTTCCGGTGCCTAGCTGCCATGCCACCTGAAGGAAGCACGAGGGCTGGGATACTGCCAGGTTGCCCAAGCCTAGACAGGGGAAGTCGAGTGGTGGAGGTCGGATTCGAACCACGAACCTTCCGGTCAGTAAATTCGCGCTCTAACCACTTGGGCCATCTCGCCCCCACCTTTCGTCTGGGGATGTGGTGTCTAGTTCATAAGCGTATGGCTTGTACGATGATGAATATCCAGCTCAACTTGCTTCACTTGTTTCACTGCCACTATGGTTCGGTCACCTGACTCACCTACCCTCCTTTGGTCACCCAGCTTGAGTTCCAACCCCTCAGTATCGGAGAGAACTACTTCATTCCTCGTTTTTCCATAGGGCTGCTCACCATGATTTCCTCTTTTATGCTCCTGTAATGTTGAAGCTGCTCGATCACTCCGTTTTGGACCGATTCGACCTCCAACATTGCTGTGAAAGATCGCTGGACATGAGTCCAGATGTAAACTGCGCTGCAGTATCGCCCGAGCCATGTTTGCGTGACGCAATTCCAACACCGATGGCCTGAATCCACAAGATCGTATCTCCAAACTCACGAAGGGTTCACGAGAAACTCTCGGAATCAGATGACAACTGATGTCGGAGCTGGGTGTGAACCGTAATGATATGAATGGAATGATGAATGGAATAGAGGATATTAAAGACCTCGCGAGGGACGAAACTGGGGTACTGACGTACGCAGAAGCAACGAACCATACCGAAGATACACGGGGTTGTTGGTAGTGTGAGGAGATTTGGGATTTTTGTGGGATTTCGTCCTGTAAGTGAAGCCAATCTATGCTGAAAAGGCTTTTCAGCATAGATTGGCTTCACTTACAGGACGAAATCCCACAAAAATCCCAAATCTCCTCACACTACCAACAACCCCGTGTATCTTTGGTATGGTTCGTTGCTTCTGCGTACGTCAGTACCCCAGTTTCGTCCCTCGCGAGGTCTTTAATATCCTCTATTCCATTCATCATTCCATTCATATCATTGCGGTTCACACCCAGCTCCGACATGAGGAAAACGTAGGTCAGCCACATGCGTATTTATGTGCGTCGTCTCCTCTGAGCTGGCACCAATGGAATATACAAAAAGCTAAAAACTTCAGCATCCATCTCAACGCCTTCGACAGAGCTAAACGTAATATGCCCTTTCAAACACCAGATATAATGGTCCACGGGAACCAGAGAATCATCATAGTGATCGACCCCGAATCACACGGGGAGAAAAAATCGTTCAGTCGTAGCAAAATTTAGGTGCCTGACTGCCATGCAACCGGAAGGAAGCATGAGGGCTGGGATACTGCCAGGTTGCCCAGGCATAGACAGGATAAGTCGAGAGGCAGGGTTGGATTCGAACCACGGACCTTCCGATCAGCAAAATCACGCTCCAACCACTTGAGCCATCTGTCCCGGTGAAAGTGCAACTGAAAGAATATTTGGCGACACTGGAACTTATTTCTGTGCGCGATTTTTTCTTTCAATATGACCTCCAGGGCTATTGTGGAGGATTCACATTCATACCCACACTCATACAAAGTTGGCCAGTGAACTGGGGCAGTTTTCGGATCATTCAGACTGTGAATTGGCAAATATACGGCGACGTTCCCCAAAAAGCTTGTACTGCTGCCGTAGAGTACAACACCCAGCCGCTGCCTTGCTGTCAAACGCTTGAGCTAAAGCCTTTGTTTGTGGCTGCTAACCTCTCTCCTGTCTGTCACACTCATATTATCCCAACATCGATTGTAACATGGTTACAACGGCCGGGTCACCTTACTTGCTGCACAGAGCAAGGCAGATAGGTGGAAACATGCTACGCTGATGCCTTCTTGCTTATACTTCGGCCTAATCAATCACCTACCTTACCATGCCTCAATATACGTACTATCGATTGACTGCTCTGTTCGTCTTATATCAGCTTCTGTGGATCCGTCCTCAATAGCAACCCCAAAAACCTCGAAATCAGTCCTAAAACTATGAGTCAGTCTACTAAACTGCCTTTAACCTTCCCATAGCGAAGCAAGCAGGACAAATGAGGTTTTTGCTTGCACGCAGAATTAACTCTGCATCGGTGTATGCTAGCAGGCAAACGCAAGAACACAGAACGCAAGTACTGTAACTGAAAGGATTACTTCTTCGGTCTTTTACCACTTCCGGGTGCTCGACCCTGCCGACATGAGGGATGTTGCAGATGGACGTTAAAGAGTAGCATCTGCGCTAGACTGGACAGCCGACGATAGTTGTCGCTCTGATCCTTACAGCATATGGCCGAGTGCTTTGGACCCTAAGATCCATGGGTCTTTCGCGACGTGAATTATGACCTAACCATCAAAATCAATGATTCACGAGTGGCCCATCAATCATGGGCGAGCTCATTTCAATA